ATGGAGAAGCTCACGTATTACCAGTGAGAACAAGGCCAGGGGTCGAGTGCAGAACAGACCATCAATTGCTCATATCCAGGTTCAAGCTGATGCTGGAGAAAATTAGAACAAGTCCACGAGAGCCAAAACGTGACCTTGAGTATATCCCACCTGAATTTAGAGGCCATTGCAAAAATAGATTTGATGCATTGAACACTAATGACTGACGACAGATGAGTTGCGGAATGACATTAAGGACATCATACATGAAGAAAGCAAAAGATCATTAAAAAGATGAGAAAAAAAGAAAAGAGCAAAATGGATGTCAGAAGAGACTCTGAAACTTTGTCTTGAACATCGAGTAGCTTAAGTGAATAGAAGAAATGATGAAGTAAAAGTCCTGAACAGAAGATTTCACGGGGCGGTTCGATAAGAAAAATTAAATATCACGAGGAAATGAGTAAAGACCTAGAGTTAGAAAACCCAAAGGGAAGAACAGCCTCAGCATTTCTTAAGCTGAAAGAACTGAAGAAAAAATTCATGCCTCCACTTGCAATACTGAAGGAGTCTACAGGGAAAATAATTAAACGACACAGGAAGCATCAAAAAAAGATGGAAGGAATACACAGAGTCACTGTACTGAAAAAAATTCGTTGACATTCAACCATTTCAGGAGGAATCAAGAACTGATGATACTGAAGGAAGAAGTGCAAGCTGCCCTGAAGACAATGGTGAAAAACAAGGCTCCAGGAATTGACAGAATACCAATTGAGATGTTTCAACAAATGGATGCAATGCTGGAAGCACTTATTTGTCTATGCCAAGCAATTAGGAAGACAGCTACCTGGCCAACTGGTTGGAAGAGATTCATATTTGTGCCCATTCTGTGGTTCTGAGACCACGATAAGTTCAGTCACCAATAACACCCATCACTGTCTTTCATTTACAAAAGTGTCCCACTATAGACACTATGTTATATGTTCATATTTATATTATCTATAAGACTCCTGACCCATGAGAATCATTCCTGAAAATGTTGGAACCTTTGTATCCAGCAATCTCCAGTCTTTCTTGGGTGGGAGAGTGGATAAGCAAGTTATGCCTCTAGAGCAATGGTTTCTTACCTTTTTAGATAAAAATTTCCTTTTGAAAATCTGTTGAAAGCTATGGGCTCCTTTTACCATAGATGTGCACATACATAAATAAGCACAAAGTTTCTCACGCATTTTAGGGGATTCATGAACCCTCTCCTAAGATTCTTGGAGCCCAGGTGAAGAACTCAATTCTAGCACAAAAATCACAAAGCTGCAAGAGTCCAAATCGGTCTGAATTGGTCTATTTATGAAGATTTTTAGGGCCCTAAAGATGCTTCTGAATACCAAGTGTAGGCCAAGACTACTCCTCCACCTGTCCTTGTTGGGCTCCACTAGAACCATCAGTAAGACTGGATAATAGCCTACGGCACCCTTCGCAACATGCTATTGCAATTCTGGAGGAAAGCAAAAGAAGTGTTGCTGCCACAATAGGAAGGGATAGGGAAAGAAAAGGCGGTTCAATATGGCTTTCAGATAAACCAGTACAGGTTTCAGTTGATGTTCCTGATAATAAAATAAATTCAAGAACAAAAGTCTGCACAGCCACACAGAAAATTTCTCTGCAGGGTACCTCAAAGAGTGAGATATTACTATATATTACTATATGTAGTGTATTCTCATGGTTTATAAAGATGATACAATTTACTCTCACTTTTCAATCACCTTACAGACTTCTATAGCATATTGTTCTCTTAGATGCACCACAAATACAGAGCATTAACCATTTTCTTCTCCCCACACTTTCTAAGAGCCAATATAATGGGAACATCAACCGTCTAGCAAGGATTAGGAAGGTAACATAAGCATTTCCCTCCACTGGTCACATTTACTCTGCTGCCAAGAGATGAAGGGTAATTGCATGATGGGAAGAGTTGGAAACCAATTGGCCCATGTGCCTCTCTTAACTGGGGTTAAGACATAATGGGTAAGTGTTCCTATGTGGCCTTTTCTTCTTCTCTTCCTTTTACTATCTTTTCAACAGTTGCATTCTCTTCTTCTCCTTTGCAGTAAGTTACTGGGAAAGACTTTTCCCATGTACAGAGAAATCTGCAATGTGGGCTGAGTAATTTCAATGCAGAGGAGCGGTGTTACTGTTCCCATGTGGCCACAGATACAAGATGCATTTTCTAATCCAGCTTTATTAGTGACAATGTTTATATTTATATCCCTGAAACCAGGGTCTATTTTGGATTGGTTGCAAACTCAGAAGAAAAAGGGAGCAAATAGCACTTTACAGAGAGATACCATCAATACCCTTTCTGTTTTGAGCAAAAGAAAATTATCTCATTATTTTCTTCTCTCGGTAATAAAAACTTTTAATAGGCCAAATTTACGTGATACATATGGATAGAATTCTTCAGAGAGAATCACTTTACAACAGCAGTGAGTAAGAACTAGGTTGACACAGTCTCAGACTACAACCCCTGTACTGAAAGAGCCTAAGTGAAGTGCTTAATCCAAAAGTCCCCATAACGCTAAGTTAGAATGAGAACTCAACATCAAGCCAGCTTTAGGGTGTCTTGACAAATTTGGTCTTGAAATTTCTGTCCCTCTAAGTTATTGGGATAAGGCAAAGTCTACCAGAACATTCAATCAGGTATTGATTTCACTGACGAAAATTCATTAATTAGTTGATCTCATCATATAAGATTGCCTTCTAGGAAGTCTGAATAAATTATGAAAGTGAACAAATAATAGAGAAACAGTGCTTTGAAATTTCAAGACAGAAGAGTGATAAGAACACAGTAATAGCCCGATGAGTTAAGAATCCTCATGACTCTGAGAAAATATTTGCAAATCATATACTATATCTCATAAAGAATTTATACCTAAAGTATATAAAGAACTCTTGTAACTTTGTAATAAGAGGATAAATAACCCAATTGAAAAATGAGCAGATATTTGAACAGACATTTCACCAAAGAAGATATGGGTGTGGCAATAAGCGCATGAAAAGATGCTCGACATCATTAGTCATTGCTGTTGTTGTTGTTGTAGGTGACGAGTCAGTTCCAACTCATAGTGACTCTCCTTGCAACAGAACAAAACACTGCCCAGTCCTGCATCATTAGTCATTAGGGAAATGTAAATTAAAACCACAGTGAGATATCACTTCATACCCACTAGAGTGGTTACTAAAAAAATAAAAATAAAAAGCCAGACAAGAACTAATGTTGAAGAGGATGTGGGGAAACTGAAACTTACACCCTCACGCATTGCTTGTGGGTATGTCAATGGTGCAGCCGCTTTGAAACATTTTGGCAGTTTCTAAACAGTTATGGGAAACATAAATATGTCATACCAACCAGCAATTCCACTCCTAAATATCTACTCAAGAGAAATGAAATTCACACAAAGACTTGTCCACAAAAGTTCACAATAGCATTATTCATAATAGCTCTAAACTAGAAAGAACCAAATGTCCATCAATTCGTGAATGGATAAACAAAATATACTATATCCATAAAATGGAATACTATCAGGCAATAAAAAAGCAACAAAGTAGGTATACATACTACGACATGGGGGAATCTCAAAAACATTATACTAAATGAAATAAGCCAAATGCAAAACACCGCATATTGTATTATTTCATTTGTACGAAATATGCACAGAAGACAAGCTATAGAGACACAAAGTAGATTACTGGTTTCCTGGGGCTGAGGGTGGGAAAGAAGAGTGACTGCAAATGCACACAAAGGAGCTTTGGGGTGATGGAAATGTTCTGAAATTAGATTGGAGTGATGGTTACAGAACTCTATAAATGTACTAAAACTCATTGAATTGTGCATTGAAAATGAATTAGTTTCATGGTATGTAAGATAGACCTTATAAGGCTGTTTTTAAAGAAGAATCAGCCATGAGTTGGACAGCAATCAATACATTGTTGAGGAAAGGAATTGAATAGATAAAACCTTTCTGAAGGGAAGTATGGCAATGTCTATCAAGAAATGTATATATAAGCCCTAAAAATATTTGAAGATTAAAGGATATATATGTATGTGTGTATATATATATACACACACATATATACGTATATATACAAAAAAAAAAAAATCACACCTGTTGCCACTGAGTCGATTCTGACTCATAGTGACCCTATAGGACTGAGTAGAACTGTGGCATAGTGTTTCCAAGGCTGTAATCTTTACAGAAGTAGACTGCCACATCTTTCTCCCGCAGAGTGGCTAGTAGGTTCAAACTGCCAACTTTTTATTTAGCAGCTGAGCACTTAACCACCACGCCACCAGGGCTCCTAATGTAACAAAAAGGAACCCTACTTTATAGTTAACTTATCATTTTGTGAAAGGGTACCCAGTAGCCTTTGCATTGGTGTGGTAGAGGAAGGGTAGTTCTTAAAAGTTTTAGTGTATGGTATATACATTGTATAAGAGATTAAAACGGTCAATTACTAGACAGCTCAATGAAGAGATCATTCCTAGAGGAAGAATCATGGACAATTTCTCACATGCTATTGATGGCAATTTGTTCAGTATTAAACTACTTTTCTCTGGTGAGGAATATAAAAAGAACATCTTCATTTCACTTTAAGTACATAACAGCAGGGTAGTGATAATAAGAGCTATATTTATTGAGTGTCTACTCTGTCCTGGGTACTTTACATACACACATTATCTCTAATCCTCACATCAACTCTACAAAATAGGAATTATTGTCCTCTCGACAGCAACGGGTTTGGTTTCTTTCTTTCTTTCTTTTTTTTTTGCTCCCTCATTTGAGGGAAGAGGCTCAGAGAATTAAATTCCTTGCAAAAAGATGAACAGAGAGTAAAAGCTAATGGAGTCCGGACTCCTTGACGCCAGTTTACACTTTTCCACCAAGTCTTAGAGTAAGATAGAGCACAGAGATAGCATCTTTCATGATTGGAACAGTCAAGCATTTTTACATCAAGGTTCAAATTCTTACCTGTTCATCTGCCTCTTGAAAACTGTCAATGTCAGTGCCATTTACTTCAGACTTTCCACATGTGCCACTAAGAGATGAGCTGCTATCACTTATGCTGCCTTCTGGGGTGCCTGTGACACTGTCACTAGCTGGTCGTGAAGACACAAAGAGGCTGATGTTATCGAAATCATCATCACAGAACCTGTTTTCAGCATCCACCTTCTGTACTTTTGCTGGATTGTAGGGTTTTAGGAAGGAGGAATACACATATCCTTTTACAACTGGATAGGAAATAAAAAGAAAAGCCAAGGTCATGTGTGTAGTCTTCCAAATATTTGTACTTAGAGAGGCATACAGAGACTCCCGGGAAAATCTCAACTTGAAGATGGGTAGTTCTATGCATCTCATGCAGAAAACTTACTTCCTGTGTCAACGAGCCACCTGCTCGTACTCCCCAATGGGTCTTTCTGTTCCATCACAGCCACCAACTCCCCTTCCAGAAGACTGATGTCATATTCCTGTGTAGCATTGCACTTGCGCTTAGCTTGGTATAGCTCCTCTGCGCTGTACGTAGATAGAAGTTTGGAGCGGTGAATGTCAGTTTGGCGTGGCATTTCTGGCTGGGAGAAGTAAGGAGAAATTTTAGTTTAGATAGATGTATAATAAACTCCCTACTGAGTTGTAAATATTGTTCTATGGAGATTTTGTAAATGTAGTAGCCATACATTGATTTGCAATTATTTCAGGGCTGAGAGTATAGATCAGGTTATTATTGTGAAGAACTCAGCTGAGTTGTTTGGTGAAAAATTCTGTAGTTAGCACATGGGGGCAGTGTTGTAGAGAAGAAAAAACATTCAACTGAGAATCAGATGGCAGAGGTTCTAGTCTCTCTTGGATGTTGAGCAACTTTTTAACTACCTTTCTTTAATTCCTTGCATATTAAATATGTGATAAGTAATTTTTAATTAAGTAAATTGTACCTGTACATGCCTTTTTCTGGGAAATAGTATCAGTAGTTAGGTAGGAGTCAAGAGGCCTGCACTCCATCTCAGCTCTGTCAATAAGTGACTTTGAGAAAACCACTTGCTCTCTGGAGTCAGGGATCCCTCATCTAGAAAATGAGAGGGTTGGACCACATGATATTCCTTCTCTATGAAATTCTATCCATTCATTCAACAAATGTTTATTGAATGCCTATGTTGTGTCAAACATCTTTCTAGGTGCTTGGGATGCATCATGTACAGAACAAATAAATATCCATAACCTCATGGAGTGTATAAAGGGTAGAAATAGACAAAAATTTATACACATAATAAGTAGGTAAATTTAGTATGGCTAAGTGATGGGCTAAATGTTATTAAAAATAGTATGATACTACGACTTGGGCAAGGACAGAGGTGATATTCATCATCGTCATTAACAATGCCAAACTCACCGGAATTTGCACAGGTTTCTTCTTTTCGAAACTCAGCTTCCTCTCAATAAAGGTGGCACTGTTGTCCTTTACAAAATTCAGATTGTGAACCTCTTCTAGTACTCGATTCTGGATCTCAGAGATTCTAGAGGCCAACAGTGGGACCTACAGGTAGAAATTATATGGCGTTGTTCACAGACAACTGCTTAGTATTGAATTTGGTAGAAATGTAATGAACAGTTGAAAAAGTGTAAGATACTTCCACAGTGAAAAATGAGGGCAACTTTAGAGCTTCTAGATAGATGGTCTAATTTGTTCTCTCTGGAAACTCCACTAAATTGACAGAGGTTATTTTTTTAAGTTTCAAGCCTAAATAAAAGGAGAACTGAAGAAAAAAATAGCAATAAAATTTTGTGAGAAAAGTGAAGGAATTGATGGCAGTAGATACTGCCGTATGTTGTGGGGGTGGGTTAGTGAGGAGAGGGAAAAGGGCAAAAACAATAAGCACTGGTTAAGAGCCTGTGGTGGTTTTAAAATGAATCTGCAAATTCTTTGCCATGCTTCCCATCAAGAGGAAAACTAGGTAGTATTTATGATTTTGCTTCAGTGAATAGAATGTAATGAAGGTGATGCCCCACCCTGCACCATCCCCATGATCAGTGGTGAATTGGACTGTTGTGCTCCATAGGGTTTTCGCTGGCTGATTTTTGGAAGTAGAGTGCCAGGTCTTTCTTCCTAGTCCATCTTAGTCTGGAAGTTCTTTCAAGCTGACTTTCAACAGTAGGCTAAAAAAAGCCACGCAAACCCCAAAGAACCCACAAGAAAACTACTGGAACTAACAGAAGATTTCAGCAAAGTAAAAGTCGACAACATAAACATAAGAAAATCAGTTGGATTCTTCTTCACCAATAAAGAGAAATTTGAAAAGGAAATCAATACCATTTACAATTGCCCCCAAGAAGATAAAATACTTAGGAATAAATCTAACTAGGGATGTAAAAGACCTGTACAAAGACAACTACAAAACACTACTGCAACAAACCAAAAGAGACCTACATAAATGGAAAAACATACATGCTCATGGATAGGAAGACTCAACATTGTGAACATTTCAATACTAACTACCCAAAGTGATCTACAATATAATGCGATCCCGATCCAAATTCCAACCTGTAAAAACCCATTGCCGCTGAGTCAATTCTGACTCAAAGTGACCCTATAGGACAGAGTAGAACTGCCACATAGGGTTTCCAAGGGGCACCTGGTGGATTCAAACTGCTGACCTTTTGGTTAGCAGCCGTAGCTCTTAACCACTATGCCACCAGGGTTTCCAAATTCCAATAGCATTCTTTAATGAGATTGAGAAACTAATCATCAACTTTATATGGAAAAGGAAGAAGCCCCAGATAAGTAAAGCATTATTGAAGAAGAAGAACAAAGTGAGGAGGCCTCACATTACCTGACCTTAGAACCTACTATACCGCCACAGTATTCAAAACTGGCTGGTACTGGTAAAACAACAGACACATAGACCAATGGAACAGAATTGAGAACCCAGACTAAATCCATCCACCTACTAGCAGCTGATATTTGACAAAGGGCCAAAGTTCATTAAATGGGGAAAATACAGTCTCTTTAACAAATATTGCTGGCATAAATGGATGTCCATCTGTAAAAAAATGAATCGGCATCCATACCTCACACCATACACAACAACTAACACAAAATGGATCAAAACCTAAATACAAAACCTAAAATGATAAAGATCATGGAAGAAAAAATAGCAACAACACTAGGGGCCCTAATACATGGCATAAACAAAATGCAAACCATAACTAGCAGTGCACAAATACCAGAAGAAAAATAGATAACTGAGAACTCCTAAAAAGTAAACACTTCTGCTCATCAAAACATTTCACCAAAAGAAAACCTAGGAAAAAATTTTTGGCTCTGACATATCCAATAAGGGTCTAATCTATCTACAAAATACTTCAACTCCGAACAACAAAAAGACAAATAATCCAATTAAAACATTAAAAAGACAAAAAATCCAATTATGAGGGAGGAGAGGGGTGGGGAGGAAAAATCACTAACTAGATAGTAGACAAGTGTCAACTTTGGTGAAAGGAAAGAAAACACGCTGTATAGCAGGAAGTCAGCATAACTTGACCAAGGCAAAGGATATGAATAGACACTTCACCAAAGAAGACATTCAGGTGGCTAGCAGACACATGAGGAAATGCTCGCAATCATTAGCCATTAGAGAAATGCAAATCAGAGCTACAGTGAGATGCTATCTTACCTCAACAAGGTTGTGAGGAAATTGGACCTCTTATGCACTGCTGGAGGGAATGTAAAATGGTCCAACCACTATGGAAAACCATATGGCGTCTCCTCAAAAAGCTTAAAATAGCAATACCATATGATCAAGCAATCCCACTCCTAGGAATATATCCTAAAGAAATAAGAGCCATCACAAGAATAGACATATGCATATACCCATTCTCATTGCAGCACTATTCACAGTAGCAAAAAGATGGAAACAACCTAAGTGCCCATCAACAGATGAATGAATAAACAAATTATGATACATGCACACAATGGAATACTACACAACGATGAAGAACAATGATGAATCTGAGAAACGTCTCACGATGTGGATGAATCTGGAGGGCATTATGTTGAGTGAAATAAGTCAATCACAAAAGGACAAATACTGTATGAGACTGCTATTATAAAAACTCGAGAAAAGGTTTATACACAGAAAAAGAAAATTGATGGCTATGAGGGATGGGATGGGTGAGGAGGAGAAATCACTAACTAGATACTAGACAAGTGTCAACTTTGGTGAAAGGAAAGAAAACACACAGTGTAGGGGAAGTCAGCACAACCTGACCAAGGGAAAGTCATAGAAGCTTCCTAGACACATCCAAACACCTTGAGGAACTGAGTTACTGGGACTAAGGGCTGGGAACCATAGTCTCAAGGGATATCTAGGTCAATTGGCATAACATAGTTCGTCAAGAAAATGTTCCACATCCTACTTGGTTGAGTAGCATCTGGGGTCTTAAAAGCGCTCAAGTGGCCATCTATGATACATCTATTGTTCCCATCCTGTCTGGAGCAAAGGAAAATGAAGAAAACAAAAGACACAAGGAAAATATTAACCCAAAGGACTAAGAACCACATGAGCCAAAGCCTCCACGAGCCTGACCCCAGAAGAGCTAGATGGTGCCTGGCTACCACCACCCACGCTCTGACAGGGATCATAATATAGAGCCCTGGACAGAGCGGGAGAAAAATACAGACCAAAATTCAAATTCACAGAAAAAGACCAGACTTACTTATCTGACTGGAGGAACCCCCCAAGACTATGGCCCCTAGACACCCTGCTGACTCAGAACTGAAGCCATTCCAGAAGTCCACCTTTCAGCCAAAGATTAAACAGGCCTATAAAGCAAATAATAACACACGTGAAGAAAGTGCTTCTTAGTTCAATCAAATACATGAGACCAAATGGGCAACTCCTGCCCAAAAGCAAGTCGAGAAGCCAGGAAGGGACAGGAAAACTGGACGAATAGATAATGGTAACCCAGGATGGAAAGGAGGAGAGTGCTGTCACATTGCGGGGATTGCAACAGATGTCACAAAACAATATGTGTATAAATTTTTGAATGAGAAACGAACTTGAGCTGTAAACTTTCACCTAAAGCATAATAATAATAATAAAAAAAAAAAAGGCCACGCAATTTCTGCTAGTTTCTCTTACAAGAGTCACTCTGGGAGCCGTTAGTCACCATGTAAGAAGTTCAACTACACTGTGGCCACCATATGGAGACCATGTGAAGAGATCACAGAGAGAGGAGAGAGAAGTCAGCTTGTGCAGCCTCAGATATTCCAACCTCCAGCTGTTTGGGTCTTCCCATCATCATCTGGGGGCATTGGTGGTTCAGTGATAGAATTCTTGCCTCCATGCAGGGGATCCAGGTTCGATCCCTGGCCAATGCACCTCATGCCATCACTCGTCTGTTAGTGGAGATTTGACTGTTGCTATTATTGGGTTGCTATGAGTCGAAAATCGACGGCACTTGACAACAATAATGACAACTTGATGCTGAACAGGTTTCAGCAGAGCTTCCAGACTAAGATGGACTAGGAAGAAAGACCTGACAATCTGCTTCCAAAAATCAGCCTTTGAAAATCCTATTGAACACAACAGTACAATCTGCAACCAATCATGGGGATGGTGCAGGGCTGGGCAGCATTTCATTCCATTGTACATGTGGTTGCCATGAGTTGAGGCTGACTCAACAGCAGCTAACTACAACAACAACATAATCGTCAATCAGCATCCTTAGACATGGAACTGAGGAAGACTTGGAGTGACTCCAGCCCCAGATTGCAATATCATGAGAGAAAGACTGAGCAGAGCTCAGGGAACCCCAAGAACCACGAGACAGTAGTAATATATGATTATTTTTGTTTCATGCCTCTACTTTCTTTTTTTTTTTTTGCTGTTTTTTTAAATTGTGCTTTAAGTGAAAGTTTACAATTCAAGTTAGTCTCTCATACAAAAATTTATACCCACATTGTCATGTGACCCTAGTTTCTCTCCCTGTACTGTGACAGCACACTCCCCCTTTCCACCCCGGATTTCCCGTGTCCATTCAACCAGCTTCTGACCCTCTCTGCCTTCTCATCTCGCCTCCAGACAGGAGCTATCCATTTAGTCTCATGTATCTACTTGATCATTGCACTACTTTTGATTTAGTTTCTTACCCAGTTACAGAAAACCAGAACTGTTTTAGAAGCTGTTGGACCCCCAGACTCTTCCTCCATTTCAGTGAAGCTGAGTGACTGCTTTTTCCCTGCCTTGGCAGAAGATTGCAAGTTTTATTCTCTGAAAATGATAAAATAAGGTCTCTGGACTGGGGACACTAGAAACAAATAAGGGTAAGCACTCACAGTGGAAACAGGGTAATTGAGTGAATGAATGTACACTAGACCCGGAGACTGTCCAGCTGAGCCTAGCAGCCAGACCTTTATCATCCAGGAGGAATACTGGAAGAGTCATCACAGGAGATTCTGAATAGCTTCCTTACACTCTGGTTTCCACATGGGTTCAGCCAATGAGGAGTAAACATAGGAAATCAGAATGAGAGAGG